ATATATTGGAACTGGATCATCATCAAAGAGTGTTTCAGTTTTATGAGTTTAAAACCTTTTCTGAGATGGGATGAAATAGTTTGTCTTCAAGGTATTTCTATACCTACATGTCACATGCTCTCTGGTATGTATCCAAGTTTAGTTCAGGTTTGGTCATTTGTTCTGCTTGGCGTTACTCTTCATGTGCTCCCAATGGAGTTAGAACTTTAGTACCAGCTCTCCTACCAGGCCTGAAAATTAGGTTTCAAAACCATTCTCCTCTCACCGGTGGAGCTAGTGTTAGCTAAGCATTTATAGCTAACAGAACCTTTTTCCCTGTATATATCTGGCGTTAGAAGGTTGGTGAATTATTTTCACTCAGCATTAAACAAATATTCGAAACACAGCAGATAGCTAAATGGTGCTTTGTTCAGTTTGTGAATTACTATCATACTTCGGTTATGCACATATTGCTTTGCATAACCCTTAAAAATGTGGAAGCCTCTAACTACCCTGTTTCCCCGAAAATAAGACAGTGTCTTATATTAATTTTTGCTCCCAAAGATGCGCTTGGTCTTATTTTCAGGGATGTCTTATTTTTCCATGAAGAAGAATATGGTACACATTTATTATTAAATGAAAATAAAGGACATTTATTACCTGTATACAGTACAGTAGTATGGTAGATGTCAACACAAACCAGACAAACTGAAACCTACAGTATCAAGAATTTACTCATTTATTCAATGACAATCATGTCATCATCTTCTGGAACATCATCATAACAATCCAATTTCTGAATTTCCTGGTGAATTTCTTGTGACTCCATTTCTTTCAGAATCAGTGGACCAAATCTCTCATGTTTAGCAATAGCACTGTCTTTAAATGAGTGCTTCTTGTAAAGGTAGCTGCTCGCAGTGCATTTGCAATGCAACTGTCAGTGATTTTCTCCCATGAATTCTTCACCCAAGTCACAACTTCTTGCAGTTTAGGTTTCACAAAGTTTCTGAGACAGCCTGGGGGGGGGGGGCCTTATTTTCGGGGGGATGCCTTCACTCAGAAGGAAACCTGTAAGTAGGTCTTATTTTCGGAGGATGTTTTATTTTCGGGGAAACACGGTAAGTATATAGAAAATTAGAAAATGGTTTATTTTGAATAAAATGCATCTGCAGTGTACATCCTTCACTCTGGATATGCCCTGAGAAAGGAAATTTGTCAGTAGCTCCCAAAACAGCAGAGCTGTCAGGGACATTTTCTTCCCAGCATTTCTGCTTGCTTATTTCTTCCCTTTGAATCGTGAAGGAAATGTGGCAGCTGTACCTTATTTTTTTGTCTCTGCAAGCCTCAGGGCACATGTGCTCAGGAACTGAAGTTTGATACACTTAAATAAATTTATCTCTGTGCGAATAACAGAAACTATAGGAACTGTCAGAGCATGTCAAACTTTTTTTTTTTTACGTACAATATGCATAATAGATGGAGTTCCAGATGAAAATGCCTCTTTTTTCAAGGTAGTCTTTAAACACATTAAATTTTAGTGTGCACATGTATAATTCTTAGGGAGAACCAACAAAGGTGTATTATTTGGCCACCTCCAAAATAAATGTAAGTCGTCATTTTAAAGTTATCATTCCTTTATTAGCAACATGTGCTTGAAATATAAATTCATAGAGTATTCTAGAGAAGGTGGATAAAGGAGAAAAACTTTCTAAACAACTAAGTAATGTTAGTTTTTAAGAAATCATATTTTCATTAGAGTTGTTAAAATATACCCTATGTGAAAGATCTAGAATATTATGTAAGGTTTTATAAAATGATTTATCTGGAATATATTGTATCTATTTTGTGTGTTTTTTCAATTTATGTATACATGAAGGATAGCATGAAACTATTATGTGCTAAATAATACTATATGATTTTCTTAAAGAATGATGCTCCAAAAATAAAATGTTGGAAGGCAAAAGATACAGTTTTTATTTGTAATAAGTATCAGAATTCAGCACCAAAGATTTAGAATGAGGTAAATACTATAGTTAAGTATTAAAGTTTCTGACCATTAAGGGAAAATATCGGAATAGCTGTATTATGGGAATATGTCTAAGAATATTAGAAATCAGCAAAATGCATATGACCTTATTTCTAAATTACAATGCATCTTATTTCTAAGATGTATCTATCCTATGCAAGAGACAATCATACACAAAATGCAATGTTTTCAAGAGTGGTCTTGCAGATTTGGAGTTAGGATTTGGGGAAGTCCAAATTTGTTCTTATACACAAAAATGTATGAATTTGTGTAAGTATCTGGGCAGGTAGGTACTCAAGAAGAATCTTAGAATTTTAAAACATAGAGCATTATAGTCTTAGGTCTGGAAAATGTTTAAGGCAGTTGCATATGAATATAAGAGAATCTGAATATAATAGAAGTCCAATTATTAATGTAATCTGTATTCTACAAATCTGGTAAATACCATTACTGACTGACAGACCTACTCGTAAGCTACAAAATGATCATATTAGATTAAAAAAAATTTAGTAAGTAACTGAAATTTGGAGTATACCTGTCCCAAACATGAGTTGAATATTGCCATCAGAGTCATGTTTTCTGTTGAGTGAGAATTTTCTTTTCTTTCTTTTTCTATTTGTTGTTGTTTCTTTCACTCTTTTGCTTGTTTGTTTTCTTTTCTCTTTTGATATAACTAGAATTATCTAAGACCTTCTAATCAATATTGGAAGAGTCCTAATTTTACTTCACAATATTAAACATGTATACATTAAATCTACCCCAAAACAAAACGAAAACATTTTACAGATGTTACGTAAATAAGTAATTAATCTATAAACCATTCCAACTTGGAATTGAATCTGTGGAACAACTGTTTTCATTCGGATTTCCAGCTCTTCCACAGTTAGGATTTGTGATCTTTTGCAATAAGGAGAGAGAAGAGGCTTTCTCATTACATAGGAGGAATGGAATGCTAACATTCCTTCTACTTCAGTTTCCTCTCATAGATTGGGAGGGAATTTGTCTTTATCAGCTTTCTTATTTATCTCACATTCACAGTTTCCTGAGAGACTCAGGTAAAATAATTATATACAACAGGAAGAAGTAATTAAAAGAAGCTGTGATCACTTTTGACTATTGTCATAATGCTGTCCTGTAGAGCAGAGTTAAACCATGACTCAAAACACTGATTAGGAATTCAAGTGAAATTTACCACAAGTGGGTGGTATTTTAATAATATCATGCTGTGATTATAAGTGAGTGTACCCAATGGTATCTCCTTTGCTTCCAGAAGCTTTTTAGTAGAGCAGAAGGAAGTCTTAAATCATACTTTCTGTCAAAGTAGCTTTGTCAGAGCAATACCAACTTGACATTTTCTGACATGTTGTCACTTAATACATGGTTTTAGTATGTACATTTCAAAAGCCCAACAAATTAGAAGTGATAGCTGATTAATCTGCATACATTTTTTAAAAATATATATTTTATTGATTTTTTACAGAGAGGAGGAGAGAGGGATAGAGAGCTAGAAACATCGATGAGAGAGAAACATCGACCAGCTGCCTCTTGCACACTCCCTACCGGGGATGTGCTCGCAACCAATGTACATGCCCTTGACCGGAATCAAACCTGGGACCTTTCAGTCTGCAGACAGACGCTCTACCACTGAGCCAAAATGGTTTTGGCAATCTGCATACATTTTAAGGAGTATTATCTGATTAGTCTTATTAGGAAGTTGGATGATGCATTTTAGATTATAAATTCACTTCATTTGTTTCTCTGATATTAATTGAAACCAATATGGCCAGCCACCTTTTTCTTTTTACAAATTTAGTTTCTACTGATGGATTAAAAAGAAAGAATCCAAAAGTCTGAAGCATTACACACTAAAGAGATCACTTTTTGAATGACTGGTCTCTTGAAAACCAACTATCAACATTTCAAGTGGATGATGACCAAGTAGCACTCTCTTCCATTAGACATTGGTTTTCTTTTCTTTTTTTCTTTTTCTTTTTTAATATATTTTATTGATTTTGTACAGAGAGGAAGGGAGAGAGAAAGAGAGTTAGGAACATCGATGAAAGAGAGTCATCGATCAGCTGCCTCCTGCACACCCCCTACTGGGGATATGCCCACAACCAAGGTACATGCCCTTGACCAGAATCGAACCCGGGACCCTGTAGTCCCCAAGCCGACGCTCTATCCATTGAGCCAAACTGGTTTCGGCTAGACATTGGTTTTCTTAGGTTCACTCTGAGGATTTTTAGTCACTAAGAAATCTTTTCCAGAGAGCCCTATGGGGAAAACTGCCAATTTTAGCTGAGAACTGTGGGTGTTCATATTATTTTCTTTACTTTGAAAATCTGTGGCTAGAACTCCCATGGGCTAAAGCGAAAACCTAAGTATTTCCCAAATCCTTTGAGAGGTGTTGATAAACATGGCATCAGACAAAGGTTTCTATGGCCCCTTGGTTGGGATTCTCCCCACATCACTGCCCTTCCCTGAGATTCCATGTGTCCGAGCACATGAAAAGCTCTCAGTTAGTGTTACACATGCTTGCGCAACTCAACATTTCTCAAGTGCGTGTAAGCACTTACCACGGGTGGTCTTCCTCCTAAAACACATCACCGAAGACTAAACATGAAAAAACATTAGACAGTTTTCTTATAGTGCTGGATTCCTTGGCTCTACTGAACAATGAACATCACATGTCAATGAAAGCTAGCTAAGATATGTCCTTACATGCCAAACACTATTTTTTTTAAAAGAGTATATAGATGGATGGAGATCTTATAAGAAAAGGAAAGATATGCCAAAATGTTTGTAAAAAATAAAACAAAAACAGAACCAAAGTGTTACTAACAGCTACCTCTTCATATTAAAAGTAGATTATTGAAAGAGCGTTTTTATGTTTACTGTAGCTAACCACCAGAAATTTGCTCTACCTTGGCACTATTACTATCAGACCAGATTCCCCCAAAGTCATGGCTACTGTTTTTTTCACTTCCAATCACAGGACAGGTGACAGGTGTTGAAGAATGGCAGATGATCGGAAAGATGACGCGAAGGCACCTCACTGGACCTCAGCTCAGCTAACGGAGGCCTCTGCACACCCACATTCACCTGAGATTAAGGACCAAGGCGGGGCAGGGGAAGGACTTGTCAGAAGTGCCAATGGATTCCCATTCAGGGAGGACGAAGAGGGCACCTTTGGAGAGCATGGGTCACAGAGCACTTACTCAAATACCAAAGAGAATGGGATCAATGGAGAGCTGACTTCAGCTGACAGAGAAACAGCAGGTAACTAAGCGCTCTCCAGTCACCAGAGCCTGTTTGTGCTTTGAAGTCTGTTTAGTGAATTAATTTACAGCACTTATCCTCTTTCAGGAATGCTGGGATGGAGACTTTAGTGGGTCAGGGGAAAGACACACAAAAAAAGAGAAAAGTCATGGGAACTAGCCCTATGCTACCCCAAAGTGGTTGCATTCTCTATCTCATCTCCCTATTTAATTTTACCACTTTAATGTTAATAAACAAATGGCTCATTACCTGTCAGCAGTTTAATTCATTGAAAGAAAACAAAGATAGTTTGCTATTGATTTTCTTAAATGATATGGGACCTAAATCTGATTGACTAATTAGAAGCATATTTACTTTTTAGGGCAGAAAAGAATGCTAGAGTCCAGCTCTCAGCTTTTAAAAAGAAAAAGGAGAAACAGAAAACAAAGAAAATGACCACATACACATGAACCATTTCATACTTCCTACGATAGCTTTTTAAGACCTAATATTCACATTTAGGAAAACATACTATAATTTATTATCAAGTAGTTACTTTCAAAGTGTAATTTCTACACTTTATCATCGACAATGTTGTCATAATGGCATAATTATCATACAGTATGAATGGCATAGAGAAACAATACCCAGAACTATAGAATTATTCAAAATTATTTTTATTTTTCTGTGACTCCGAATTTACTGCATTTGAACACAGTAACTTGCAGGCATGTTATCCAAAAAACTAAGCAAACTACAAGCATTAGTAAAAGTTATGCCCCCTTCAAAATCATCCTTTACATATTCAAAGATTGGTTTTCTACAGTCCACCCACTAGTCAGCAACACATCGACTGTACACTGCTCAAAAAAAAATGTTTACACTTTAATGGGAAAATATGAAAGGCATTTCAAATGACTGGGGAGAAATTACATAAGTACATAGTGTAACTTTTTTTAATCCACACATTCCACAAATTACCATTGAGCATTTTCTATGTAGTACAAAATGTGTTAGCTTCTGTGCTAGGTGTGTGCAAGGAATGGCCTCTGAGCATCACAGATCAGGTGACCTGGTAGTGGATGTGACACCTGTGCCTGCAGTTAATTCAGATATAAAATACAGTGTGTTCAGTACCAAATGAGCAGAACAGAAAGGCAAAGTGGAACTGGCATCGTTTCTACTTAGGGCCAAAGTTCCAAATTGTGCAAGAAGTGTCTTGAGGTGCTATGGCACAGTGCCGGTGCTCAGGCAGAGTATTTGAAATACTCAAAGCAAATGTAGCAATTCCCCACATCTGTCCAACACTACATGGTTTATTATCTCAGGACAGGACACAGTTTCAGCATTAGCACACACTAAATTTCTTTTCAAGATGCCAAATCTTTGTGAAATTGGGTTTTTAGCTGTTGCTGTGATAAAAACCAAGTACCCTGCAGACATCCGGGTGGAATAGGAAAAGAGGGTAGTGGTGTCCAATCGAATCCAAGGATCTGAGAAGCTTTGCAAAGCCTAAAAGGTACATATGCCCTATTAGAAAGAAACTGGTTCAGAATGAAATAAAAATGTCATGTTTGCCTTTCATCATTACAATGAGGATTAAATAGTACTGTGTATAAAGTGAATGGCTCATAAAATAGTACCTATTATTATTATTATTATTATTTTATTATTATTGGTGGTGGTAGTGGTGTCAATATAGACAATAGAGTACTCATAAACAAGGAATGCTTTTCTGCAAACCAGTATAATACAAGTTGTAGAGGGTGGGATTTGGATCAGAAACATTAGCTAGGAAAATTTTGAAGGATAAAGACATGAAAAGAGGAGGACACATTCAGAGTAAGATGATTGTGGGGAAAGCAGTAATGTTCTAGACCAAGATTATTCTTACCGTCATATCCTGTAGTACTTGATATTATACCTCAAGTACTCAATAATGTGTTGAGTGAGTGAATGAATGAATGAAGGAGTCAGTGAATAGAAAAGATAAAAGGAAGTCCTTTTCAAATTGATGGGGAAAACTATTGAAAAGACCTCCTTTGTGTCCTGGGCTTTCCTCGGTTGAGGCTCATGGATTATGTGAGGTTTACAAGACAAACATCTCTACTGGGTGTTTGGTCAAGCAGTGGAGAATCAGCATCACTCACTATTTCAGTTTTTCAATGGTCCTAATGGACTATTTCAGAGCACCCGAAAAATCTATTTCTAGGTCAGTGTGTCCTTGTCAGCTTGAAAAAATAATATAAATTAAAAAGAGACTAGTAGATTTTCTTTTAAATTACGAATTCAAGAGCACCCAAAAGTAATTTAGATTTCAGCTTCTCATATGTCACAGTAATTTTATACTACATTTGGGAGACTGATTATGAAAGCTTTATATGTATGTTCATAGTGACCGAGTTAGAAAGAGCCAGCTGCAAATTACCAGGGCGATGTGTTCAATTCAAATTATGGTGTGATTTTAAACTAACTTCCCTTCAGAAATAACAGGCCAAGTATTGAATTATAAGTTATCTATGTGTGGGAAAAGAAAAATGTAAAATATTGTCTCCTCATGCCTATAGAGGATGTTCCAATGATAAATTCATGTGCAATTAAATATCTCTCTAAACTTCAGCGTAATAAAATAAAAAATTTTATTATTGACAGTTTATAGCTAACTGTTTCACAAGCTACAAACAAAAATTATTCCCAGTTTTTAAAAAAAAGTGTTCTTAAATCTCAAATATGTTTTTGTTTGTTTTTTTAAAATGCTGTCCTTTGATGATGGGAACTATTGCTAAATATGAGCTGGCACGATATTTTGAGTTGTTTTAGAGAGGACCAGGGAGCTATATACTAGCCCACTCTTTATTATTTTTTTAAATGTAAATTCTTCACTGTTGAAAGAATTACATGTCTTCCTTTTCCCCCATTGACCATTTCCTGGCCACTCCTCCCCCCGCCCCCCCCGCCTCCCCCCCCCCCCCCCCCCTTAGTATCTGTGTCCCTTGGTTATGCTTATATACATGCATTCAGGTCCTTTGGTTGATCTCTTAACAGTTCCCTCTTCCCTCTGAGGTTTGATGGTCTGTTCAATGTTTCTTTGTCTCTGGATCTATTTTTGTTCATCAGTTTACATTATTCATTATGTTCCACAAATGAGTGAGATCATGTGATACTTATCCTTTTTTGACTGGCTTATTTTCTTAGCATAATGCTTTGTGTACACTTGTAATCTATTCGTATACTGCGTTTCTGCCCTCTGAAGGAGATTTCTCAAGGCATTGGTAACTTGAAGCATTTCCCAGTATCACCAGGTCCTTAGCTATATGTTGTGGTGGCCACCACATTACTGATCAGTATTCTTCTGCTTTCCTTCTTTGCTATGTCCTCTCTTGACTTTAGAAATAAATCTTTCCCCCAAGGTTGATTATTTGTATTTATCTCTATAAACCAGATAAAACGTTAAATGAATTGCAATCATCCCCCCTTCTTCCTTCTTTTATCATTATGGGCTTCCTTCAACCAAAGGTCTGGCTCATTCTCTGTCACCCTTTTTCAGTATTCACCTTCATTCCTGGGCCCTAGTAATCTTTAAAGATGCAAGCCCATAGTAAGTTTATTGGTAATCTTATGCACTGAGACTTGGGATGGCAGGGAATGCTAGAAGGCAATGATGTTTTAAATTACATTTCTTTATAGTTTATTCTTCGAGATTTTGTCTCCTTACAATGTAAAGCTAACCCATAGAAAGGCAGATTGAATTATTTGCTCATCTGATATAGCATAAATTTTGATACTTTAACCATTTTTCTTATATGTATTCATTCAGGTCTTCTTTTTAGAAGCCATCGCACAGTAGCTTTGAAAAATAAATGAGAAACCATTGAGAATCTAGCCCCTTGGGAATGTTATTGTTATAATGAGAGTAAAGCCATCATTTTTACATTTGTTTTCCAAAGTGGGAATCAGAAGAGTAAAAGCTTAAAATAAACCCTCCTGCTACTTTTCACCTTAAATTTGAAGCAAGAGGAATGCATTTTGCTCCCCCACAGAGTTCCAATTCTGAGGGAAAATAAGGAGCTTCCTCTTTAAGATTTTTATGTGAGGTGGGGCCCAAACTCATGTTAGAATCCATATCAAAATAACAAGAAGATCACTAGAAGGAACCAGTCAGGTGGCCTTTCATAGTCCTCCTCTTTACATGAGATCCACTCAAGATCTCATGACCACAGCCAGCATGCTGGTATGACGCACAAACCAGCACTCTTTCCACAACCCATAGCACCTGATTGAGACCAGCACAGCCAGCTGCCTGGAGATCCGTTATAGCCAAAGAAGACCATGCCTATTGCAGAACTGCCACACCCACGTACCTCCAAGCATGACAGAAAAATCATAATTTTATTCTCATCTCTCAGTGTGAATGTAGAAACAAAGGAGGCAAATTTGAGAAGCTGATAGATGACAAAACATTGATGTATTTCATGAAAATCATCCTTTCATGACTTTGACTATCCTAAGGTCTAATGTTTTGAATACGAGTAAGAAACGCTAATCAGAGTATAAAGAGCCTTCAGGACCATCCCCAGACCACAGCCAGGGCCAGCTCTGAGTCAATGGCAGATCACAGGGGAGTGTTTCCTTCCATAACCGCCCACCCCACGCCCCAGGAATGCCTTGCTTCCCCGCATTTCTGAGGAGCCCCCAGGTCTGTTCCCTACGGAAGCAGCGAGGTCTGGAAAAGCTCTTGTGGGTCAGGCATTGTTGCATTTCAGAGTTTGCCTTGAGCTGTGCCTTCCAAAGCCCAGACTCTACCATCCTTGGAACTCAAGCAGCCAAGCCACGAACATACTCAGCTATGTCCGTTTATTGCTGCTAAAGTGATAAATTTAAGCTTGAAAATACACGATGAAGGAAAAGTTCGTCATCACTCTAACCTTCTGCTTCCCTTTTTAACCTTAGAATTGTGAGAACCTACCTTTTCTTCTTCCACTTTCCTCTGCCAACATTCCCATTTGAGATTTACTAGTAAG